TAAGAACAAGTAAAGGATTTACAGTATAGGAAGGTTGATTAAAATGAAGAGTCAGACAATAAATGATTATGGATAATGATGGCAAAACTTTAGTCAAGTTTTAAACACTTTCACGTTTCTGTCTCTCTCTCTTTCTCCCCGTCTTGACCCCGTGAGTGGTACTCTATCATTAAACCTGAAAGCAGGGGTCCAAACGACAGCTCAGATCTCTCACACACTTTCTGCATCAGCAGTCAGGCTCAACTTGGCATGATGTTCCCTAACCCCACTCACACATCCCCAAAACATGTTACACAGGGGATTACTACAATCCAGTTAGGGCGATACGGCCAAATCTCTCTATGTGATTGGATTCTGTGTGGAGAGAGACGCTTGTGAGTGGGCTGTGAGGATAGAGAACGTGTTGTCTATATGTGTGTGTATGTGCATGCATCTGTTTGTGTACTGTGGGTGTATGCGTGTTTGTGTGTTGAGGTAGTGGTGTGTTTGCCCAGCCAGGAAGTGGGGCTACAACAGAGCAATGCCCATATAATGTCCTGATGAGTGACCCATGGCACTTTCAGCCCAGAAGCCCTCACTTAAAAGCAGACAGTCTCTAATGCATTGAGGTTAGAAGATGCTGTTTTAGAATGAGAGCCCATTACAGACTTGCTTCCTGCAGGAAGAGCTGAGAAAATAGGGCAAGGATCATTATCCGCCATTGTTACGGCTGCAGGAAGTGTTGCACATAGAGGATCGGGCTGCAGATAATTATGTGTGTTGCCTGGCTGTTGTGTTGCACTTTTGTTCTGAGTGATGAGCTTGGTGGTGTGTATTAATAAAACATCTGCCACACAAATGAAAAGCAGAGTGTGCCATATGTTTTGTAACTCCTTTCATGACTCGGGGTGCTACTGAATTTTTTTCTTTGGTTTTAAAATGAACTTAAGGTTATCAACTATTAAAAATCTTATCACTAGGTCACTGGGCTGTATAACAGCCTAAACAAGTCAGGCTAGGATTCTGTCATAGGAGGGATGGAATTTTTTTCACATCTGGATTTTTAAAACAGAATAATATGTTGGAATGACTTTACTACATTATTTCAGCTACTATAAAGCTGACAAATTATTTACAGCATGTCACAGCTTCAATATTTCCTTACACTTTTTGAAGATAGTCTGTTCTATATATATACTGTACATTCACAATTCTTTTATTTCACAAAACTCTACATCAGCTTAGCTTTTGTCTAAATTAATCAACGTGTCAAATAATTTCTGTAAAAACTGCATGCCTAAAATTGCCTTTCAGAAAAGCTATTGTGAAAGTTTTTATATAACTCCATTTGCACAAATCTGCTATTTAATGCACCATTAAAACTACATGTATCCTCTGAGAATAAAAATCACACAAGGCTTGTATAGTACAAAGAAATAGCAAATATTCTAATGTTTCCATTTGAGGTGCAGTGCACACATCATTACACACTACAAACAATAGTGCTTTGTGCAGGTCATAGAAATCTTAAGATGCACAATTTCAGATTTTGAAGGACTGCACACTGCATTTGTAGAATTTAATTTAAATTTAAAGGGCAGGCAAAGCAAAAATAGCACTGTAACATTAAAAATTGCCTTGTAACACTGTGTGGCTGCACTGTGTCTTGGCATTCTAGTCATATTGTTAATCTTTTCACATGGGAAGTCATCATGTGCCAGAGACCTTTTTATGTCCCCTTTCCACTCCAGTATGTTAAGTGTTGACATCTTAGACTTGAGAAAAGGAAGAAAAGTTATTCTGAAATGTCATTAGTGCACAGCTCAGCACAGCACTGTGCAGTAACCGCTTCAGTCCTGGGAGAGACCACCTTCTGTTTCCATGGTAACTTAGGCAGGGTAGACAGAGAGAACAGTGAGTAGAGAGAATCCGACTAACAAAAAAAGATGTTCAGTACTGAGTGAGTGAGTGTGTGTGTGTGTGTGTATTGTATATGGGAGTGGATGATGGGAAGTTACTACACATACTGTATAATGAACACTGTGCAATTTAGCAAGACAGTCTCTACAAGAAAAGGCCCCAGTCGACAGGCAGGTTCAAATCCAGAACACTTTAGCTCTGAAGTGTGCAACACCAAAGTACATAAGTGAACTCCATTGCTACTTTAATAATCTATATAGCTCAATTTTAGACCACAACCCTGTATTGCTTTGGGTGGTAATGACACAGTTAATCTAATTTCCACCTCTCGAGATGGAGTAGCAAACATGGTCATGGGGTATATTTAATTTGCAGCATGACATTCCAAGGCCTTGGCTCTAAGGACACACTAACAAATTGCTGCTTAGATAAGCAAATACCAGAGCGGAGCAGCTCAGGGCTCGGAGGACACAACGGGTGAGAGGGCAAAGTTATTTTGTTGCAAATATGTGTCAGGGAGCACAACGTAACGCACAACTTAGGTACCTCCATCTGAAGTTAGGTTATTGTCATCAAGCCCTTTTGTATATTTAAATGACAAGAAATGTTTACAAAAAACATCTAATGTTAAGAGAGGGTGATATATCATCAGCCTCAGTATCATAGTGGATTATTTATTTCAGAGAAAAGATGACTGTGACCCTACAGTGGTATTTCTGTTGCAGTTAAATGATTAATCTATGTGGTGCACAGCAGACCTCCTTCTCTAGGTTTCTGCTGAATGTTGTATAGAATCTACAAACTAGACTTGTATGTATGATGATAGACTAGTCAGTAGATTCCTCCTCTAGGTTTTTGCTGAATGTTATATGGAATCTACAGACTAGTCTATCATCATACATACAAGTACACCACTTTTTATGAATGTAGGGGTCCTTGGAGCCTAACACACCGCAACTAAAGAAAACATAGAGAAATATGCTGCACATGTATTGTCAGATTGGTGAGAATCCTTACTTCTTTTGACTGTGTTTTTCTATTAGCATCTATTTTGCAATGCGTTTAACTCTTAGAACCACTAAAGAGCCCACATTTTAGCTTTTATATGCCATTAATTTAAAGATTGTACACAGTATGTTAATGTTATGTGGACGTGAAAGTTACCTGATCTGCCATCTCGCTGGAAGTCAACGTGATACCACTCGCCATCATTGACTTTCTTATTGACTGCCTTGGTCTTTGTAGTTCCTGAGCCCATGTCCAACAGTAAGTATAGGTGGCCATCTAGCATTTCAATGGCAAAGAAATCCACCTTGAGTGTCTGGGGACTCTTTGAATCCTTTGGCTGCTGCTTGGGCTTGCCATGGCTAAAGAGGAGAAGGCCATTGGGTTCTGTAGTGCGGAAGTCAAAGGAGATGGAGCCTGTCTTCTTAGCATTCCACTTGTTGAGGATAATATACGACTCTGGTGTCTCAAATGTGATGGGGTCCAGAGTGGCCACGTTCTCACACTTAAAGGCCACAGTACCATGGATCTTCATCTTGGGATCACCTTGTCTGGCTAGCCTGGACAGCTCAAGTCTCACATCATTGTTTTTGTACACAACCTGATTGGGAGTAAAGAAATAAAGAAAGTTTGACAGTCATACAGTAGCTTATCTCACCTACAAAGCCTGACTCCTGTTGCTGTTTGCAGAAGCTAAATGTTACAGACAATCTATCAAGAAATGTTTAATATTCATTTTCAGATTGTCATGTCATGTTAACCTCAGCTGCATTAACAAACTCAATTCCCTAAACTCTGGCTCTTTATTACGCAATAATAAGATGAAAAGTAATTAATCAAAAGATGTTTTGGTGTAGACACAGCTATACTGACCCTGTGGTCCAAGGCTGGATCTCATCTCGGGAGTGTGCACTGTCAGAGGTTGTCTAAAATTTCTGAGATATCATGAGATGTCTGAGACAGCCCATTGTGATGTTCGACAATGCATTAAAACCAGCAGTTAAAGACCTATTGTTCAACACTCTTGGCTTCTCAGTTTCCTTGGATCAGTGAAGCTCTGGGTCTGAAATGGACCAGGGTGCATGGACCCTGTAATACTTGACTGCAAGTCTAGTTCTTATGTGTAATTACTTAAAAAATAATCAGCGGAACATAAAACACAGCCGATATGCAAGTGTATTTAATTAACCCCATCAGGATAGAATGTCTTGAGCAGGGTTTGTTTGGACCAACCCTTTGTCATCTTTGTCACACTGAGGAGCTGTGCTTATGTGGAACCAAAAGTCACTCACATCACCCTGCTGGCTGGGTGAAGTGTAAATAGTTAAGATGCCCGTTTTTGATATTTAGCTTTACTATTAACTAAAATAAGCCACAGTCTGAGTTTAAGAGGCGATACTAATAAGAGTCGGAGAAAATGATTCCATCAGGTAGCATCTCCTGGGATTATATGTTAAATGTGAGGTGGTAAAGGATAAATCTGAACTGCCGCCTTGATTGCAGGTGTGGAGTAAAATGCTGATTAAGGCCCTTGTTGAAGTCTGTGATTAGAATAAAAGTGGGCAGTTGATAGATAAGCCTCTCTAAAGCAAACTGAAATTTAGTGCATGAATTATACACATTTAGCCTGCAACATTTAGTATACTGTAGATAATTTAGAAAAACTATAAAATACAAAAAACAGCATATTTTTTATGTAGAAACCTTCAGCTCAATCCCAGTTCATATTTTTACACTGTGTAAGAATAGTGCTTAACTAAATGAAGTGCATTAGTGCTATACCTGTGAGGTGGCAAGTTCTGTAGAGCTCAGGCACAGAAGTGACAGACAGTAACAACCCCATTGCAAAAATTGAGCCATAATGTCATTACAATACCAATGAACATGGTTTAGATTCATTAGCATATGGTATGATGCAAGTATCAACTGACCACTCTGACAACCTGTTCATTTTTATTCACTGTTGGTTCTCTCACTGGTTTTAACTCCACTTGTATATAAAACTTTTAACTTCCTGTTTCATTGCTTAACAAAGGCAGCACAAGAAGTAGATTAAATTCAGTTCTAAACACTGTAGAAGGTTGCTCATAAAATCTTAAAAAAATAATGATCTAATCATATCTCCAAAGACTAAGCAGTAGCTACAATATGTGTAAGGGTGCGTTGCATGCCACATTGTGGAAATCAAAGAGGAGTGCTACTGTAATTGGCAACAGTCTTACAAAAATTAGAGAGAGGCATAACCTCATCATTATCCAATCTCCTTAATGAGAAGGGTTTCTAGGGTACATGCAGCTGGAATTGCAAGAATCCCACTAGTTACACATTTCCATATGAGAAATGAATTTGCATTTTGGTAAATGTTGGTTTACAATAAAACATTAATTTGGTCATGATATAAAAAAATTGCTTCAAAATTGCACCAAAACACACACATCTGAAGTGTTTTAAAATAAAGGAAGCAGCAAAGCAAATACTAAGAACACAACAACTGTAAGATTGAAAACACAAAGCTGTCAATAGTGTGCCAGGCAGAGGGATAAAGGAGCAACTAATACTTAACAACAACCCCCCGGGTGCACAAGCAGAGTCAATGATCTCTTCCTCTGGCAAAACAAATTGGTAGACGAGGTTATCAAGTGATGGATAGCCCAATTATGTTTATAGGATGCATGTGCATTTACATAAGAAAAGAGTTCTAATAGGAAATCTATAGGCCTGTTGCTTCAACAAGACATATCAGTTGGGTTACTTGCTGTGGAAAACAGTGGCCATGTTCTTTATATGTTACAATGTTCACCCGAAAGGGGGGGGATACATCTGATGGCACTGCACAGAGCATGTTTATCACTGAGTCAGAACTTCTGTGTCTAACTGTTCAGGTAGATGGTGCACCAGAATTAGGCACTCTCAGGCTCAGTTTCTTGTAAATGCTTTGTGACCGGCTGTATCACGCTGCATTTAACTCCAAGAAAAACAGTAAACAGACTATGGCAAGCTGTTATTCCCACATCGTTATCTCCCCCTTAAAACAATGTGTTGTACAACACAGGGCCAAAGTTAATGTTTTAAAGATTCTGTAGAAATAGAAGTGGAACAAAAAGGTAACTTGACAAGAATCTCCTGATGACAAAAAAAAATGTAAAATGGAGTAAAGGAATAAATGATGATATCTTTGCCGACTGTTCTTTAGTCATGTAGACTAAAGGCGCAACAGATAGAGCCAGTAAACCCAAATCAATCCTTTATAGTCAAGAGAAAGGGCACCTTTCAGAATCAAAAGAGCTTTGGTCTGAGCTATGACTAGTGCTGCACTACCAGTGCTGCACTAATTTGTCAACAAGCTAGGGCTGTGACAACTGAGCCATTACTGCACCACTGTTTATTTTACCATCAGAACCACCAGGAAGGTGTGGCAACTCGGACTGGAATCTGCACACAAATACTGCTAGTAGCCACATGGGAACACAGCACATGCTGGTAAATCACTGTTCACATGTTATCACAGCATAAGCAGAAGCTGGCCTGAGACTGGTCTTTTGTTTAATTCGGGCAGGGTGAGGTGATGCAGGGAGCCTGTCAATGCATTAAAAATGTCAGGAATAAATCAACACCCAAAAGGTTGAAGCAAACTATGTACTTTACAGTGTATAGGCTTTTTGTTTTTGTATTGACATCCAAATTTGTCTAAAACTAAATAAAGGATAGCAAATGATCCCATGAGCATATAAACAAGATGAAACTCTGTCTGTCTCAGATCTCATGGGAGCTATCACAGGTCTGCACCATATTTAAAGATTTTGAGCAATTCAATACACTGATCTCAGGACAGTGAGAGCAGCCACTTTGGTTATGCTGACCTAGGGCAGTGACAGCAGCTCAGTAGGGTAGATATCCATGCTTAAGATGAATCAATCCCATTTCAAATGTAACCATATCTTCAGCATCTCAGAGACATAGTGAACTAAGACCATCCACTTAATAAGCAGACCTCTAATGAGCTGCACATGGTGTGTGGACATATGGTTCACACGCTGCTTCCTCATTATACAGAGCTGCTTCAGACATGTCTGAGACATTCACTGAGGAGGTGAGAGACAAAATGTAGGACACCAAAGAAAGAAGACAAGCTATAAAAAAGAAAAGGGAGAGTGATGAGGAAGAAAGGAAACCACTTTATAAATTAAAAAGATAAATTAATGGATTTTACAGTATTTTGAAGATTTGCTTCATAGATATTTTTGTATATCCCTGGTGGCCTCAGAAATAAATGCTATAGGTCAGAATCCCTATTAACCAGCAAAAATAATACCATACAGCTTAACATGAAAGGTATAA